ATTAACTATAAATGCCTATACAGTGTTCAAATTATTAGACTTATTTTTTTAAAGATTGCTTTATTAGTGTTCTAGACAACTTAACAAAATGAAGAAGCTTTTTAAAATAAATGCTTGATCTGAAGAGGCCCAGTGCTATTGTATCTTCTTTTAAATAGTAGAGAATAACTATATTTCCAGAAAGCCACATCAATTTTAACAGCATCTGTACAACATGAAATGTAACACCACAAACAGTGTATATCGTCTGTCCTGTTTGCTGCAAAGAGAAAAAATTGCTGGGAGGCAGAGGCAGATTCCCCCCTTGTTTTCCTCCCCAAAGGTTAGGTGCATCTTATACTTCAGATCATCTTATACTCTGAAAAATACAGAGCTGAATAAAGGAAAAATGCCATATTTGTTCTCTCATCATTAACATGTCTCCTTAAAAACTTACATTTCTGTGCTACATTTCTGAGTTTCTGAATGTTGTCTTCCTTCCTTGATATATTCTAGATGATTAGTTGGGGAAAATAGTAAATTCAGTGCATTATTTACCAGACAAGTAGCCCAAGAACAAATTAATTTTCCCTTCATATTCTGAAAAATTCTAATTTGGGCTAGTATAGCTAGTTGAATGTTTGGAAAAAAGGTATAAAATCTAGTCGTATATTTCTTAAATTCTGTGTATATTCTACTTTCTATAGAATTGAAGAGTTGCTCAACAAAAATAATATTTTATGTGACAGTTTCTACATTGTTGTCAATGCATATTGATTGGGTGTAATTACTTCTTGAAATGCTGATTATTTGCTGCTCAAACATTCTAGTGCTGTTTGATGGATGTTTTCAAACCCTTAGATTCCAGAGCACAATATATGATCAGTTGACTTCAGAAAGTAAAAATACAGAGGGATAATTTATACTTGTATTTAAAGAAATGTGAAATATTTCATTATTTTTCTTCCATTTCCACTTAGGATCTTCATCGAACTGGATGCAGTTCTTATTGTGGCCAAGAGGCAGAACAAGACAGAGTGGTATTGAAAAGAGTTTTATTGGCTTATGCCAGGTGGAATAAATCTGTGGGATATTGTCAAGGCTTTAATATCCTTGCTGCTCTCATCCTGGAAGTAGTAGAAGGCAATGAGGGAGATGCATTAAAAGTAAGTATATCTGTTGACCACATTTTTATTCATATTGTATTCTGTTGGTTATTAAAAATACCATAGTATAGGAACAAGGCCCTCTAAAGACTAAAGGAAGACTCTGTTACTATTCAATTCATAACTTATGTTTATACAAAGAGACTGCTGCTTGGATGATAAAGATTTATCTTTTATCTTTATCCTGTTTTTCTGCTTGATTTTCAGATAATGATTTACTTAATTGATAAAGTGCTACCTGATAGCTATTTTGTTAATAATCTGAAAGCACTGTCTGTTGACATGGCAGTGTTCCGAGATCTTCTGAGAATGAAACTTCCTGAGTTGTCTCAGCATTTGGATACTCTCCAAAGAATTGCCAACAAGGAAAGTGGAGGTATGCAACGGCCATGCAAATATTTCTTCCTTTCTTTGCTTCTTTATCTCTTAGAAATAAAGTTCATTACTTCTCCTGTGTGCTGCTCTGGAAATCCAATCATGGGTTAACTTTGTCCATTAGCCTAGAGACTGAGTATGTAAATTTTGACCATACCTCCTCTGACTGGACCGGGTCAGTTTTTTTACTCAGTCCAGCCTAACGAGACGCATCTCAATTTTCTCTCTAAACTCATCGACAAATTTAATCATCTAATTGGATTCAACAGTTGCACATTGCAATTTGAAGTGTTTTACTCCATACAGAGGTGGAGGCGGCAGTTCGCTGCAGCCCAGACCCTCCCAGCCGTCGGTTACCTTGCCGGAGATTGGAGACCGCTTGGTCCGTTGGCTTGTAAGCCGGGACAGCGGGGGCGTTCCATGAGCGGGATTCGGAGCCCCTTTTTTCCCCTCGCTGGCTGTTGGGCACGTCCTGGGCTGGTGCACCGCCCTGCGCCATTCTTTCGCACCAGGAGCAACCCGCTTAGGCAGCACGGTTCACCCAGGCTTCATTCCCTTGCTCTGCCTCATTTCCCTTGGAGGATCTGCGACCAGCTGCGCCAAGGGGCTCGCGGCTTGCAGGATCCTGGGCAATCGATTGGTTCTTTGCGGATTTGAAATTCGCGCCCTCCAGGACGGTCGCCATTTTGGACCGGGCTCTGCGCACGGGCAGCAATCGCCTGGGGGAGGCGGGGCCGCCCAGGCATCGGCGCCACCCCGATGGCCTCCTCTTTCCCTCACTTGTAACTTGCTGAGTCAGTGAGGAGGTTGTTTTTTGTGCAGTCTCACGTGGCGCCTTGTACGGTGGAGCAGTTTTTTCGGCATTCATTCTATACACGAGGTTGAGCCTTTCCAAATATCTCTTCTATTTACAATGGCAGATCAATCGGTGCCCAGAGGTACTGTAGAGCCCATTTCTGAGCCCCATTCCCCTGGCGAGGGGGGGGGGGGGCTAGCCCAAGGCCCAGCAGGGCCGCTACTAGGGCTTCCAGCCATAGGCCTCGGGCCTCCTCCGCTGTTAGGGATAAATCCCATAAGCGCAAGGACAAAACTAAGGCGCCAGTTAAGGCATCTGGAGCGCCCAGTAATTCTCCCCCGGTGCTGATTCCGCAGTGTGTTTCCCCAGCGCGGCCTACAGTGCAGGGTTGGTCTCCTGATGTGCAATTGCCCAGGGCGCCTATTACCACGGAGGGGGGTTTGAGGGCACAACCCCCTCCTCCCTTTTCGGAGCTAGGTGTGGCTTCAGCCCGTTCGCCTCCGCGTGCAGGGCCTTCTGCTACGTTTACCCCTACTGCTGCAGGCCTCAGGCCTATGGAAGGCCAGGATTTGGGCCTTCCTCCCAATTTATACCACATGATCTCTGCAGCT